AAAAACATAAACAGCAGATTCAAAAACTCAAGTCAGGAAAACAGAACACAAGAATACTACCCACATGGAAGCCAGTCGAAGTCGTCGAAGAACGAACACAGTTGACAGCTGTAGGTCACGTGTAACAACAGACACGAGGAGCATGGCTGCTCTCCAAATGGGTCCCTTCTTTTGTATTGACCCCCTAAGGATTGCTAATCCCCCTTTCTAACTCTTCCCCCAAAAATAATATATCGCCCCTTTTAAAATGTATTGAGCCACAAATTAATGAATATTCATGAGCACAGAAACTGCAACGTCATGAATAAATTAGCATAATTTTAAAAAATTTGCATAAAGTGTAGGTACTCCTTCTGGAGCTCTGCCGGTATGTCACTTGGTTTGGGAGAAATACTAGTATCAGGTGCTTTCGAAAGGGAGTTGAAAATGCTCATGTTAAAGCGCGGTGGTCGTCGCGCAACGCCTGTTCGAATAAACAATGTATTTTACACGTGTTGATACGTCGCTATGAGTCCCATATCGAACAGAACGCGACACGACGACTGCCGCCCTTGTTGTCCCCACCCTTATGTAAACAATAATAATACAACTGTAACTGTTTTGCCTCCTTGCGCAGAACTGTAAATAATACTCCTTGTAAATAATTTTTAAGTGATAATTTATAAAATGAATTTTACATAAAGAGTAATAAGACAATGTATATAAATATAAATGATAGTAGTAAATATATTGGGCCAAATAAAATAATTCCTGTCCTTCTACCCAGTATTTTTTTTCCGACCCAATTTGTCTTGTTTGGCCTTTTTGTACTTAGCTTATTCTGAACTAATTTTCCGGGTACATAGTTTGATTCTTGTTCTAAATTTATGGATTGTATTTTGGTATGACAATATGATTCCATGAGCAGATTATAGAGTCTAACTGGAATAACGCTGACATTCATGTCAATTGAGAAATTTGATTCACATGCATGTTAAATACAAATTTTATGAGGAAATGTGTGAAATTCGTCTGCAAACTCTCACATTTTTTGTTATTCAACAGGGCACTAATAATGCAGGGTTAATCAATTTGTCAATTACCGTAGGCACTGTGCAGTGATGAAATAAGTATGGAAAAGGATCAGCCTAACAAAACCATTACAAAACAAAATATTAAGTTTTTAGTTCTTACTATGATTCGACTATACACAGAACAGCTTGCTCCATGTATTTATTGAATGTATTGATTACACAAAGTTTTATGCATCAGTGTTTTTGGAAAATACAGATATTTTTTAAGTGTGTCAAGTAGAGGAAAATCTTCTGTGTTTATGGAATTTCACTGAAATACATGTATTTGCTGAGCAAGTTTTTATTTGGAGGGTGGGGTAGTCTTCATTTTGGTCAGTGATGTACTAGTACATAAAAATAGTTGTTTTAACATCCATAGATAAAGCAATAATCATTGAATGAATGTGTTCAATATGCAGGTTTCATAAGGACTGATTTACCATACTTTATAATGCTAAAATTACATTTAATTTCAGTATATATTCAAATTTCTGTTCAAAATAATTATAATTATTATTATGTTGCATACAACGTAGTATTCTGGGTAGTTGTTCAAGCTGCAGGAAAGAAAACTATAGTATGTTGAAATGCCAATCACTGCAAATGCACTGTTTAGTACTCGTAATATGTTTTTAAAAAAACTGTTGTTTTTTTCTCTTCCAGAATTCCCATGTACATGAATTAAATGACAAATAAGAATATGGAGCCCATAGCTGTGTTCAAATACAAGGATGCCAGTCATCCAGCCTTCGTATTGAGAGGCCTCAATGAGCTACGTCATCAAAAAAAGTTCACTGATGTTGTACTCTGTGCTGGTGAGGAAGAGGATGAAATCATCTGTCACAGAGCTGTGCTCGCTTTATGCAGTCCCTATTTTAATGCAATGTTTTCAAATGGGATGCAGGAGAGTAGAGTTGAAACAATAATGCTGAAGGGTATAGACCCTAAAAGTCTGGGTATCATTGTTGAGTTTCTGTATACTGGTTGTATTGATATTAGTGAGCATAATGCACAGAGTATCCTTGAAGCTGCCAGTCTCTTCCAGATATCATCTCTGGAATCTGCTTGTTCTGTTTTCATGAAGGATCACATGGATGCCTCAAACTGTCTTGGCATACTACAGTTTGCCTATTTACACAACTTGAAGGAGCTTTACGAGAAAGCTGAAATGTACAGCACTGTTATATTTTCTGAAGTCACTAAGTATGAGGAGTTTTTACAGTTGCCGGGTGAGCTACTTTTGAAGTATTTATCTAAAGATTTGTACACAGATAATGAAGAGGTAGTGTATGAAGCAGCGATGCAATGGGTGAAATATGACATAGAAAACAGATCTAAACTGATGTTTGATATCTTGAATGTTTTAAGATTGCCTTTCTTATCACCAACTTATCTAGTTGAGGCTGGGAATAACCCATTGACTAGCAGTGAGGAGAATCTACGACTGATTGAACATGCTCAGAAGTATCAGAACATGTCATTTACAGAATTACAGAAGACATCATTGTTCCAGTGTCATCCTAGAAATTACAAGGAAGCTATCATTATCCTGGGTGCAGAATCAGTTGATCACATGGAAATCAAGCATCGAACCTTTATGTATGATCCGCAAAGTAAGTTGAAGATTCAGCGTCAATCACCGCCATTTCAGAAATATGAGAAGGTCCAGACTGCAGCATCATTGGGCAGTAATGTCATGGTTAGGACAAATCTGGGTAACGCCTGGTTGTTTCTCCCACATGAGAACACATGGACTGAAGTGGCAAGTCCGTCACAACCACGATGGCATGGTAAGCTTGTATCCTGCAGCAATCATGTATATCTTGTGGGTGGTTATGGATTGAATCGTACAATACTTGACAAAATGGAAGTGTACCGACCAGAGTCAGATTCCTGGGAGATCATCACAACCTTGCCGACTCCTGTTGTTGATTGGCATCATTCAGTCATTGCTTGTCGAGAAAAGATCTTCATTTTTGGGAGTTCAAGTTCAGATTGCGATGGCATACCAGACATCCAATGTTATGACATACTAGCCAATGAATGGAGTTTACAAGGTCATATGCGAGTACGTACACAGAAAATTCGTGCAGAAGCGCTCAATGGTTGCATTTACACAATCGGTAACATGCCGTACTACAACCACATAGAGTGCTTTGATGTCGAAAGCAGCACATGGAGGACTGTCAAGAACCTTATTGAAAGCAGGCATGATTTCAGCACTGCAGTTTGTAATGGCAAGTTATATGTATTTGGTGGTGAGAAGGAGGGTAGATATGGTAGCAAATGTATTCTAAATTCTGTGGAATGTTATGACCCTGTTGAAGATCGGTGGAATATATCAGACAGCAGTGAACATCTATTGAATATGCACACTATCACGATACTGCATCCAGAATTTCAACCAAGCCACTTAACTGGACCCAAACAACATTAATTACATCAAAGAGCATGCAATAAGTCACAAGATGGCAGAGAATGTCATGATTCTGAAGATGCAATACAAATGGTTCATTTGTATTACTATAAGATTGAGATGACATATATAAAGTATTGTAATATAAATATTGTATATTGTAAATAGTATGTATTTTGTGAGATAAATTTTCAAGAGTCACTGAAAATTGTAATAATTTCTAAGGTTTCACAAATGGGAAAGCCATGAAAATAAATTCAGTGTCAGTGACTCTCGCAAAATGTTGTCTTCATGAAAGAAAAAATTAATTGTTTACAATAACCAATTGCACACGCATTGTACTTGATATGCGTGTATGGAAGATGTAACCATTGATTGTTAATCAGGTTGCAGTCAAAATACAAAGTGTGTATTCTGCTTTAATAATGCCTGCTGTTGAAGTCAAACTGAGCTACAATGTATTCATATTATCAATTGTCAGTCTTTAACTTTACATTGGTGACTCCTTAACAGCCAGCTATATATGGCTTGAATGCATCTTTCCAGGAAGGTACCTTTGGTGAGTCTCCCTCGTACATTGTATATGTGACAATATTTTCATCATTTTGGGTAAAAAAAATGCTATTTTTGACTTCTTGACAATGACCAGCCTGAATACTTTGATATTTTTGCGGACATCTATCAGATTTGTCCATTATGTGACATTATCTCCAATCCAACTATACTGTGTAAAGTTCTTTCTAGGGTATTATATGGAGAAGAATTATTACAACAATATTAACCTATGTTATTTTGTAGCTAATCATTGTGCTATTCGTCTGGAAAGAATACTTTCTCTTCACAGCTTTGAAAATAATGATAGTAATACTTCTCCTTGAGTTAGGTATGAATGAATGTATGTAAATTAATATTGACAATAATCATATCTGTAATAATTTCTGTATTTAAATAAATTTTACATATTCAAAAATACTGTGGAATACTTTTTCACTTGGAATTTATTTTCGCTGAAGAAATAACTCACTGAGAATATACCTTTTTTCCTATATCTTACATTCAACGCGTCAAAAATCTGTGAAAATAAATTCGATACAAACGCCCCAAAAGTCTATTCAGCAAAATTTATTCCAGCTAAAATAAAGTATTTTACAGTACTAGATATACATGATATACATATCACTATCTGTATAGTCAAAATAAATTAATAATACAGCATACAATAAAAATCATTTTTGTTTTATATGCACTCCTTGTACAACAAATACTATGCTATGATAATAAAACATTGGTCTGGGGAATTCTGAATTCTGTGATTTTTGAATTTATTTTCAGTGTGGCTGCCCCATGACAAAAGTGGTTATCCAGGGCAACTGGACATCTGCCAATGTTGATCCTTGACTATCTTGCTATACTAAAGCCAAACTTCCATGAACCCCCCCCCCCCCACCTACATTATGAACTTGAATCTGTATCATCACTACTGCCATAGTCAAATGGAACAAGTGACGAGAAATTTGTAGCATCAAGTCTTTGTTTTGCGAGATTAGTCTTTTCTGGCAAACCACACTCATCATTACATTGTCTCCCATCTGTCAATGCAACTGTTGTTGATGTCCTTGTTGATGTAATTTCATTTTCTTTCACTACTTGGGATTGCTTTTTAATAACAATTCCTAATGTACTACTTGCAGTAGCAGGGCATGATTTCCTTAATGGTATTTTGTCCCAACTAGATGTAGCTGAACCAGAACTGTAGTTTTTATTCAGTCCAAGTCTTTTCTTGGCATCTTGTAATCTTTGATCTTTCTCATGGGAAGATTGACTTGACGATGGTGATTGTTCAAAGATGGGCTTTGATAATAATTCTTTTCTTTTTTCTTTTTGTTTTTCTGTAAATGCTAGTAATAAAAATAACAACTTTATGTCAAATTTCATAGTACCTTGGTGACATCTTTTTAAAGTAGCAGCAGGGAAAAGTGAGTTAAAAATTGATCTGTTATTCAGAAATTCTTGAAAAGTTACTAAGCATGCTACTATAACAATCTGAAAGCTTAGATATAAGCACATACATTATATTTTAAGAAATATAAGTTTTAATTATGACACAGCATTCATTGAAACAAATCCCAGACAAATAAGTTATGTGCATATGTGTTACATGATGTAATCTGATCTGAAAAACAAAATGATGTGCATCAAGGGCTCATAATGTTCAATTTTTGAGTGAAATCCATTCACACAGATTCATTTCCGAAATGGCAGAAATGTTTTATTTTGAAGAATTTTTAACATTAAAATAGCTGCCAATCCTAAAACAAATGTACGTTAATATTTATTCTGAGATGTACCAGTATTGATCCAGGCTTGTCTAAGATACATGTACATGTGAAGATGTGCACACACACACACACAAAGGTCAATCCACTAAGTCCTTATTTTGGGACTAACAAAAAATGCAACTACCATAAACTCTAAAATTTTGTCGACTCTAAAAATTGAACCACATTATTAGTTCATAATTTATGGGCTTCTGAAATTTCAACTGATCACAGAATTCTGTTTTTTATTCTCCAAAACTTTGTCCACCTCCGAACAATGACTCGACTCTAATTTAGAATGTAACAAAAAACATTGAACTGACCGCATATTATATAATAGACAAAACATCTCACAAATGATCGTCTGCTACACACAAAAATAACTTACTTTCCCCAAAGTTCTCAAGGTTCGAACAGCGTTTGCTTATTATTCAGTAATACTAATAGTTCGATATAAAATGTTTTATTTCTTTGGCTTGCTATGAAATACATGTAAATTTCATGCTCGTGTTATCATTAACAAATGTTTTAATACACTCTGATTGATTTAGTATCTGCCATGTTTTCTTGATCACGAGTTGACCTACCATATTGACCTGATAGCATTAACCAATCAGAATATCAAGTGGAACTACTGAAAGTTTCTGAATTTTTGGATCGCATAATGCATTACAAAAGTAAAATTCATTATCATCATGGTTACAGTATGATTCACTGGCGGTTTATTTCATTGTATGACGTTTAAAATCTCAAATCAGTGATAATTTAATTCCGTCATATTCATAATCTATTACTGATTTTGACGCAAAGGATCATATGGCATCTAATGTTTTTGTAATCACTGATTAATTCAGAATTTCAACCGTTTTTTAAAACTAGTTCTCTTTGATAAACATGAATATTCACAATAATACTGTCATGTTGGAGACAGAAATGTACAACCAATATTACTTACATTTCACAGTTCTGTATTTCATGAGTGAAGCAAGTTTCTTATCATCTTCATGCTCTGCCACTAATTCTATATCAAGTGATGATTTTTTAAGCAAAGCATTATCTTCCTCTTCTGATATTTTCAGCTGTTGCTTTTCTTGCTGAAACCATACAAAGTACATACATGAATATTAAATAATACAATCTGTATCCTGGTGTAATTGCCTGCAACACTGGGTGACAAACTGATCAGGAAAATCACTGTCTTCATATTAATATCCCTTGCAACATTGTAATAATCCTAGGAATACTGCCAGAGGTGTTTGTTTGCCTTCAACTACTGTAAAGTGAAAACACCAATTTGCACTCCCACTATATTTGACTGAGACTGCTTGAATTTGAAATGAATGAATTTGTATGTTAGTGATCACATAACAATTCACTGTGTTTGCGGGAATAATTAATTCACCATTTTCATGCAATTTCTTTGCTTGAAATCTGACTTAAAATTTGAATTTTGAGCGGTTTGACCTTCTGAACTTTGACACTTTCAGTTACCAGTATCCCTCATGAAAAGGGAGCCAGGTGTCCAGAAGCATCAGCTTGTTGGTATTAATAAGGCTAAAGTCACAAAAACACTTCTGACAATATTCCTAGGAATATTGCAAGAAAAACTTGTACAAAGATAGTGTTTTTTTCTGATGAGTTTTTGACTTATTATTATAGTAAAGTCTTGATTTATCGTAAAGTGCCACGTGAGTCACCATTTATTGTGTCTAATATTGGTCCCATGTGAGTCACCATTTATTGTGTCCAATATGGGTCCCATGTGACATACACAACACCCTACACTGTTTGCAATAGCTCAATTCATTAACAATTGAGATCTGGCATGACCTGTCTCATTCATGACAACTCCTTGTAAACCATAACAGAGGTCAGATAAGCTAATTATGTTGTTCACCACTGTGAAGCATGACTACTTTTTAACTGCCATTTTCTGTCATTTTTCTTCTCAACTTTGACATCGAAAAACTGTTAAGTATGCAGCGTCATTTGTCAAAGCACTTTGCTTAAAATAGCCCATTACTCACACGAAATTTGGTGCGTAGCATCTTGTTAATCATATAGTCTTCTTTCCAGTCTGATTGTATGTCTTCAATTTCAGACAGTGTGGGTATGATTATCTCAGATTTCTTTTTATCTTCAACACCATACTCAAGCTTGTACATTGGATCTGTAGCAAGCTTTTTACGAGTTTCTCTATCTGCAATAAACGTAAGGAAAAAAGTAAGGATTAGACTGTAATGGGTATCAAGCAAAATTGACACTGATTTTGCATGATAACTTGGATGCAAGAACACCAACTTACCGTAAAAACTCGATTAATTCGCGGTCTCTATTAGTTCGCGCACCCATTTTATTTTTGAAACGCTAATTTTTAAATGTATACTTTTAATTTGCGGCGTTCAAAAACATGTTTAAAATTGTATCCTATTAATTCGCAGGCCAGAATAAAGTGGATAACTCAGAATATATTGCATGAAGACATTAAAAATATACATATAATTTTATGTTATCAGTACTTGGTGTCGCCGCAATCGCAGATGATCTCCTGTCATCACAGCCTTTCAGTTAGCAAGCAGTTTAGGTTCGGTAAAGATTTGACGTGAAAAAAATCATTCCCCCACGACACTACAGATGTTGGGCAAGATTATTACTTAGTCGATAAATATCCATCGGTCAGCACATCGATTACGAATTTCCGTGATGGAAAGCTTAGTACAGGGCTTTTTCGTTGCTGGTCCACAGGGTTGCATTGACCATGTGCCCACCATTATTTTATTACGTCATTTAAGTGAACCGCCCTATGGTGCGTAAATTGACATTTTTGATTGGTCGGGTGATTGACCTCGTGTCACATTTTCATTATACCGGATTCGGTAAAAAACACAGAGTTAAGCGGTCATGTACCTTCTATAAATCTAACCTTAGAGTTCAGT